CAGAATTTGATTATCGTCTCATTCTCTTTGCTTTTACTCTTTTTACTGACAAGAGTTAAGTGAGACTTCTTTATGACTCAATAAATATGTGCTTTTTATTAGATTAATATATTTTTAATTCAAATTCTCTGAAAAAAGAAATGGAACGGAAATTGTTTTTTAAAGAATTTAGAGATCAAAATTAAATAAGACCAGAGTTCAAATAAAAGTTTTGACGAAGTTTGCAATATTGTAATTATTATAATATATTATTGTATATTTTTTTTTAAAATGTACGAGAAAAAGATAGATTCTGAAATATTAAATATTATGTATACAAAACACAAAAATAATACAAAATAATTCTGAAATGTTAAAAAAAAAAGAACAAAACTCTGAAATATTATATATAACATATGTTTAATATTTTAAAGTTTTTTGTTTATTTTTATTATTTCAGAATCTTTTTTTCTCGTACAATTTGTCCAGATACAGAAAACGTGCAGAAATTCTTTCATTGAGTATTTGGAGGCTAAAAAGAAATAATATAAAAGTTCAAAATTGTTATAAAATTAAGGAATAAAATAGTATTAATGACAATAAAATTTGGTGAAAACATAGTTTTATGTGTTAGATTTTTAGAATGATTTTTTCTTTTTTTAGGGAAGGTTATAGGAATTATTATTTTTATGTTTATCAAAAAACGTTCCATCAAAATTCCAACAGATTTTGCGAGAATTCCCAACAAAAATTGCACTTCCTTCCCAAGTATCTTGTAGTTGTATCTAAGTATCTTAAACATTTAGATCAAATCTTAATTCTTATGATTCCCTCTATGCACACACTATCATAACTAAGCATATTTATTTCCGCTAAGCATTTGATAAATGAAACTGTAAACATATTCCTTTGTATACATAAGGTTTGGCCTATTTTGTTGTTGTTATTCAATTGTTGTGTCTATTGTTAACATTTGAATAGCTAATTCCAATTGTTGTACACCCGGTTCCTGGTTCATTTGGCAGCTAAGCAAACGTGGAGCCTCAAGAATTTCACTCAAACATACACGAATACACAAATATCTGCATAAATGAGGCCATTATCTCAAGGTCGTTTTCAATTAGTCTTACTGTTGCGGTTTCGGTGTTGCTTTTGGTGTTTTTGTATGCCCTTTGTCGAGGGGCATTATGGACTTGTCGGGAGTTATGTGACACATGGCGGGCGAGAATTGCGGCTAGGTTTATGTGGGAGTTAATTAAGGCTTTTCCAAACTCTAATATATATCTATATATATTTTGATGCAAATGTTATATATACCCTATATACTGATATATATAGAAGCCGAATGGGTCGAATCGTTGTATCACATAGCTATGATGAGTTTTCATAGTAAAAACATATTGTTTTCACAATTTATTTTGACTTTCTTCTAAATACTATATGATGTATAATATATGAATATAGTTCTGTTGGGAATGAAAGTTCTCAAATGAAATTGCGGAAAATCAATCATATAAATCTGTTTATCATTGTAATGGGACGTGTTGTATCATCAATAACATTGACAGGGAGGCTATAAATATATTCAATAGTAAAGTACGCTATATATCGATACGTCGATGGAATTACTAAGATATAATAACAAATAATAGTCATAGCTTATTGCAATATGTGCATAAAATCGATATATCGATATGTATCGATATATCTAAACAAATGAAAGGAGATCGCGTTGGGGTTTATCGAAGAAAGGATCGAGTTTGTGCTTCGAACGATACCGCTAAGATTATCATCTTGTATATATTTATTAAAAGAATAGTTATACATCTATCTATCTCTATGTATTGATATATGGATAAAAAGTGTACTCGAGATTCTGCAACGAAAGAAGCTCTCTACTTTGGCATCTTTTATTATAAGAGTATTTCTACTTCGACTAGCGACTCCCTCATTTTTATGGTTCTCGGTTAGGTTCGGTTCGGTTTGTATACGTCCATTGTATGGGGCACCCACATGCTTTCGATTTCGCTTTCGTTTTTTGCCTGCTAGCTTCTCTTTTTTTTACTTTATAATTGTTGTTGTTGTTTTTTTTTTTGGCAAACAACCTTGATAAACTATTTTTATCAGTCAGACAAATGGGGCCAATGGCAAACGCCCGCCCATTGCCCATTTGTTTGGGGTTAGTGTGCCAATTAACGATTAGATATCTCGCAGTTCTGTTCTATTCTCTCTCTATATATACATATACATATATATATATAAATGGGTTAATGGCATGCGGCGAATATTTCGCAGCTGGGAAATTTGAGATTTTTCGGGCGAGGTAAACAAATTATCTATGCAAATAATATGCATATTGCTGAGTCTGTTGTGGGCGTGGTCGTTGAGAGGGGGTGGGGTGAGGGAGGAGGGAGGTTTGTTGTCTCTATAAATAATAGAAATATTGTATGCAATTGATATTTGCGCAGAGCTTATGAAAAACAATGCAAGCGACTGCGTCACAACAGCCACAACTTTATGTAAGGGCCGTTGAGAAGTGTGGAGGGAGGGGGTGGTTGGGGCGGTGACTGGGCGGTCTAGAGCAGGCGTGAACAATGTCGCAAAACAATTAAAAATACGTAGCGCAGAATTTGGTAAGAACATGCGGGCGTTAAATCGAAACATGTTGTTGACATTCCCAGCCCTGACCCAGAAATTGTGCGCAGTGTAGTTTATAATGGTATGTAACAATGTGCTAAAACGTTGGAGGACTGTTTCAAGTAGTGTGGGTAAGCGCTGAAACCATAAGAAGCTCAGCTATTAATGGAAATGCAAAAATAAGCGCAACAGTTGAAAGATGAAATGGAAAATAAATATAAATAACATAAGTAACATTAAACAAATCTAAATCCGAACTCAAAAAGATTTTTAAAACAATACATTTTTTAAAAACAGTTCACAATAGGCTAAAAAAAAAAAAAAATATATGAGAAATAAACATTAAAAATATATAAAACATAAAAATAAAATAAAAAGAAAAAAAATAAATAAACCAAATAGAAATTAAAATAAATAACAAATATTAATATGTGTTTTAATGTTTTATTTTAATTAATTTCTGAAGATATGTCCAAGTTTCGAGCTGAAATAAAATGAATATAAATAAAAATGAATAAATCTTAATGACAATCTAACAAATTAAATATATTTATCATTATTTAAAATACATGCCAGTTCTTGGGAACAGTTCGTTATCTGAAGAATTCTTTTAGCTACAAATTTGCAAATTTTGAGCGGAAATCGATATTTCGTTCTTTTATGCCACATGTCAAAACATAAAAAATCCTTAAAACTAAATGTGAAAAGGAAGTGTCACAAAAATTGCGCAAAGCAAACAAATTTTGTTAAATTTCAGATGAAATCGTAAAGCACAAAATGTTTCTATTTGCTTCGACTTCGCCTGGAACAGAGTGACAACATCTGGCGGGGCCAGGAAATGCGGCGATGACGTTTTGCGCTGACTTATCACAGCCACACGCAGTGTTCCCACTCTCTCTCTCGCTCGCTCTCTCTCGCACACTCGCTCTCTCTCCAAGCTGTTCTCACTTATTTGCTGCTACTGCTCTTCCCATTGCCGCTGGGGTCACTGGCAGTTATCGCTGCAATTTTGTAATCAGTCGCCGGCTCAAGGTTAACAGCTAGCTAAACCCCCCCCCCCCCCCCTCCCCCCTTCGTTCGTCAAGAACCGTTGCCTTTTCACACTCTTTTTTTCAGTGCATTTCATTTGCACATATTGACAGTCGCCATGTTTGTTTTTTTGCTCTTTGCATCTGTGTGTGCGCTCTCTTTAAACTGTATTTCACTTTTCATTTGATTTTATTGTATTTCATTTCTTTTATTTCTTATTTCTTATTTATTTTTTGTGTTTTTTTTTCTTTTCTGGGTCATTTGCCCGTCTGGCAAAGCGGCAATTTTTTGCATATTTGTTTTTTATTGTCACTTTTTGTTAATTTAGATTTATTGCCATTTAAATGCACTTCCATTGTATTTACTGCAACATTTTGGAGCTTTTTATTACTTTTTTTTTTGGTTTTTTTATTTTCCATTTCTTTGGTGTCCATGTGGCAGGCCCATCGATTAGCGCTGATTGCGGCAAATAAGCCTAATGAGCTCGGCAGACAACAATACTTTCTGGCAATCGACTTTATAAAAAGTCATTTAGAAGCAATTTGAAACATTTGCCAAAGTCGTATTCAAATTTTCTTCCTCTTGGCTTTTCCATTAGGCGGCTAAAACGCAAGCATTTGCAGTATGAAAAGATATCTATAGAGAAATTGAACCCTTACCAAACCTAAAACCTACTTAAATTGAATTGATTTGAAGCCTGGTTCATTAAAAAAACATTTGAAAAGAAACCAATAAAATGTCGGTGACGCATCAAGGTTTGAACCAAGAACTGTAGTCATGCAAGTTCAAACCCAATTTCACAGCAAACATTTTTGTAGTGTTCTCAGCCTCAGAACGATATAAGAACGTCTAGGATACACAATTTGTTCCTAAGCTCCAGACGTGTGCGAGGCACGCAAGATGGAACTGCAAATCGATATCGATGGACCTTTGTGAAATAAAAAAAACTAATTCCAATATCTTAATACATCGGTATATACTATTAAAAAAGCAAATATTGATGCTAATCAAGAACACATACTGTAAAGGGTCGGAGTTGGGAAAAATTGCCTCATTCTTAGCTGTGACTTTTCAGTCAAATTTTAAAGAGAGTTTTTGGAAACTGTATTGAAACTAAATTAGAAATTTGGATGAATACATTTCGAGCACTAAATTTTTAAGTACCCGAGACCAATATTAACTCGAACGTGTGATTGGGCAAACCAATAAGGTAGCAAAGTATATAATTCCCAATCAATCGCTTATAATTCCCAATCAGTTATAGGCTTAAGCTAACGCTGGGCATCTGGGGCAAGGCTGTTGAAGGCAAAGAGAATTGCTTTACATTTAATTTAATGACGTTTAATACTGTATTTCCCATAAGTTTTACATAAGATACCAGTTAAAATACTGTAAATTCACACATTGTGTAATAAATATATATAATACGACGACACACACATAAATATTGAACATATGGATGCATTTGATTTGCCCACTATTATTATGCCGTGCACTCCCGAAAGTTCCCACTTTACTAGCATTTCGAATAGCCAGTTTTTTGTTTTTTTTGTTGTTGTTTTTGCTTGGATAATACCCTAGAAGTATGCGTGAGTTAGTTAGCTGGAGCAGTACGTTTGCTTAGACGTCGACTTACCTTTTGCTGTTATACGAAATGCTAGTAATCAACTAAGTTTTGCTCCAAAGATTTCTTTGGTAGCATGAAATGAATAACTGCTGCAAACATGTTGCTTTTTACATATTTGCAGAAAACAAAACTCCTCTTCCGGGAAAACTTCGGAAATAAACATTTTTTTCTTTCGATTTTTCGATAGTTTTTTTTGGTTATCTTGTGCATGCATTCTCCCTCCCTCTCTGGCTCCCTCACGGAATGCCAATAAACGAACAGAACTATCTCAAACCGGAATTAGATCATGCCTGAAAAATATTTATATAGAAAATACAAATTAAACGTTTAGTTAAAGTATGTTAGCTAAAAGTTGATCCATGCCAAAGTCCATGACTATTTGTGAATGTGTGTGAGAAGCGGAAAAGGTATCCAAACATTATTTATCTGTGTATTCTATGCATACAGCTCTTATAATTTACAAGTTTTGCTTAAAAAAACATCTCACAATCGATATTTATCGATATTACGAAACTGCGATGAGATTTGAATAATCATAAACTCATCATGCACAAGAATATATATTTGAACTGTTTGTAACTAGCTTTCGTCATTCACGTGTTATGCTTAAAACTTTTTCTCAAAATCGATATATATCGATATGATGGAAATGGCATGGATGTTACCGAAAAACATGACAAACTCTTTTTGCGGATCTTATACGAAAATGTATATTTGAAATATTAAAATCTTAAAAGTTAAAAGGGTTTTACTATGACTAAAAATCTATATATATTTATATTTTCAAAGATGGGGGATGTAGAAAAAGAAATAAGCTTAGATCGAAATCGGATAGATCGGACGGACAGACAGACAGACAGACCGAAAGACAGACCTAGGAAGGCAGCTAGATCCTTACAGCTCATCTTCCTGAGCTAGGACTTCTCAAGGAGTTCGCAGATTATTATATAGAAAGTTCCTTCTATGCAACATAACATGATAAGCTTTCTATATAACACAACTCTTATGCCCTCTGACAAGTTGAGCTTGCAACATACCCTGCAATTTGGCCAACTGCTCGGTAGTCATAACAATGGGCATCAGACGATCCGGACCGCCATTTAACACCAATTTTGGATCGGCAATGGGGCCCATATAGCATTTACGCATCTTCAGATACTGCACCCAGACATTTAAGGATTGCTCTGGAGATTTGAGCTCTTGGCCGCCAGCGTTGCGCAGATTGACATCGATATCGATCAGTCCCTCGTTGAGGAAGACCTGTCGTGTCAAATGGATATGACGATTGGTAATATAGATGTTTGGCGGCTGTTGATCCTGTACACGCTGGGCCAATCCCTGAATCTGCTGATCCTGCAGTACGGTGCGCATGAAGTTCTCACTGATCAAATGCAGATTGCAATCGCGTAAATCTCGCATCGATTGCTCCAGTCCGCAGTTCTTTTCGCGCAACGCCTGCAGCTGTGCGTCCAATTGCTTTTTATCCAGCTCATACAGCTTCAATGTCTTCTCCCATTCCTCGTTGAGGACACGCATATCGCAGCTGCGCTCCTTGGAGGCAATTTTGGCGCTCAAATAGCGTTCCGATAGCTCCGTGAATTTCGATAGCGCATAGATGCATGCAAAGATCCAAAAGAAATGCAGATATACATCAACCGAGCTGGTCTTGCAGCTTTCCGTAAATGGATCCTGCAGTTCATTATCTAATGTATGATTATTAGTATCCATATTAAATAGAATTCTTGTCTTTTCCTCTTGTGTATCGTGTGAAAATACAGTTTATAATATATAAAGATAATTTTTCCTATATACTATGTATGTCATCTAACAACGCCTGCCCTGATCCCAATTCGTGTTTCGACTCACCTATGAGCTGTTCATCCTCTTTGCCCCCCAACAGCTGTGAATAGTAAAAGACGAGCCAAATAATTAGAGCCAGGCCCAAACTGATAGTCCAATTTGCAAAGCCCTTCATTTTGCCAATGATCTTCGGTTGGAACCTTCTAAAATGGTTTGCGAAAATTTTGTTTAGTTTATTGGAATATTGGTTGTGATTTTTTGAATTTTGTACTAAATTTTAAAAGCCAAGGCCTACTGTAAGATCAATTTTGCCTAGTTTCATATATTCCTTTGTTTCAATTTGAAGAAATTTGATAATTCTGGGGGTTTTTTTTGTGGTGAATTTACTTCCACATGCGGAAAATGGGTGAAAACCGGAAGATATGTATATGAAATAAGTGCACATGTCTATATTAAATCTTAAGTGCTTTTAAGTTTCCCCATATTTAGCCATTTATTCCCCCTCCCCCTCCCCTCTTAACCTCTAACCCTTACTTTCTCACCCACTCTTTGGCTTTGTCAGCAAAGCTAATTTATGGCTTGACTCGCTAATTTACTTACTCTTTGTGAATTATGACAGAAAGTTGTCTGAGACCCCTTCAACTCCTTGCCAAGCTGGGACTGTCTGGCAGTGCCTTCCCTAGCATAACAAATCAGTGTGTTAAAGTAGGGCATGCTCGACTTGCAGTTACCATATATAAACAGAATATCTTATAGTGAAATCGGCTTAAAAAATATTTAGCATAAAATTGATGTTCTTTTTCATATAGAGTTTCTGGGGAAAGTAGAGTTACAATAACTGAATTCTTCATTTGTTTTAAGGAATGCATTTAAAAACGAACTTCCTCTTTCAGTCAAGATACCTCACCCTTACCCTTATTACAGGGCATATCCCACATTGAACCCAAAACGTCGCCGACTCAAAACCAAATTTCATATTTTGATTAGGATACATTTTGCAGCGTCGCGCGTGTTAATCAGAAAAATTGTGATATATTTACTTTTTGCAGACGAACAGCCACAGCGTAATCCCTCTAACCCTTTAACCCTTGAGCGTGAGAGTCCTTTGAGCTTAGATTTCTTGTAGAAGTTATTTAATATGAGTAAAGAGGGTATATTGCTTTCGTGCAAATGTATGTAACAGGCAAATGAAAGCAATATCCGAACCACTTGAAGGGTGATACAATTATATATATATATAATAGATTATATATATTAAGCGCGTATATATTCTTGATTAGCACGACGAGTTGATATATGGGTAAATATATATATATATATAGCATCTATAACTGAGTTTATTTATATATATACCTATCTATATATAACATATATGTAGATAGACTGAGTGCATATTCATATTCCCGATGTCCATGTCCGTTTATCCATCACGTTGTTTTCGTAAATTAGATAAGCTAGAGATGTTGCATCTGAAATATATAGCCCAGAAGCGATGTCCGCCTAACAGGAGTGTCCGTTTACTGTATATAATTGTCTACTCCATATGCAGAATAAGTCTATCATCTTTTTTGGTTTCTTCTACTATAGATTTTGGGACATGTTTCTCAAGCATGGCTTTGGCATTATATTATAACAAATATAAAATATAAGACTTTTAAAGTAAAAGCCTTGAATTTTGGTATAAAAACTCATATGTACGATATATTAGGCACTGAAAAATGCAACTAGATCGGACCTTAAGCGCCGAAAGGGAAGCAGAAGCTCATGCGTGTGCATGCAAGAATAGAAGTAAGCGATAGAATCTTTCGCTAAATTAAGGGCATTAACTAGTCGGCATTGTACGCTTATTTGTTATTTTATTGAATTTGATTATTTAGCTGTTGCTTGATTATGGCTTAATAATTACATTTGACTATAATAAGCTTTTGTTTTAGACTCATTCATTTATAAGCCAGCTCTAATTTATTGTTTTTTTTTGGCAAGTGGTGTGCGTGTGTGCGTGTGTCTGTGTTAGTTGGTTCGTGTGCGGTTTTTCCAGCACTTTGTTGATTTAATTAGGTAAAACTTTGCGGCGCACAAAACGCCAAAATGAGTAACAACCGCAGCGACAAGTCGTTCATTGAACTGGCGGCGCAACTAAATGAGTGTAAATCCGTGTGTGAGTATATGAATGCGCCACATACATGTACAAATATGTTCGCATATGGCCGCATTAGGTCGCACGGGGGCGGGCAGGGGGGCCAAAGGGCAACTTGTGACATCTGCGGCCTCGCAGACAGACAGTTGTCAAGACTCCAAAAATATATATACCTATATATACACTCGAGCTTCTATGACTATTTGCATTTGTTTGCAACCGGAAAATGATTCACGTTTTTGTTGACTCTACAAATATTTGTCATGTGCACATCAAATTCATTAAATATTTGTACGATTTTTTTTTTTTGCCTGAAGTGCAATTACTGCATATTAAAGAAGGCTAACTGGTTTTGTACTTAAGTTCAAAATGTTGTTTTTTACATTTTAAAAATGATCACTTTTAAAATTTGTTTAAAAAAAGTATATCGATAAATTGTTCGATATATTTTTGATAAAAAACGATTCGATAAATAAGCATTAAGCATTTTCGATAACTTTGAATAAAAATGAACAAACGTGAATTTTATTTCGATTCGGTTTTGTAATTTTCTAATAATAATTGTCTTCAATATTTAAGTAAAAAATGTAAAATCGATAAACGAATCAATTCAATAATAAATGTATTCAATATCAATGTATCAAATTTGATCGATAACTGCGTACAAAAATCGATAAATGTAAATATTGACAACATTTTTAGTCATAAAAAAAAATGGATAAACATTTATATTTACAACAATAAATGAATTCGATATATTAATATAAAATGTCGAATTAAAATAGTAGAACATAATGAATTGTTGACTTGACTTTTGTGTCTATATTCGGCTCTTAACAGTTGATTAAATATGTGAATTTAAAAATAATTTACACGAGCATATCGTAGGACATGACGGAGGTGGGTGGGGGCTGGAGCATGTGGTTAAAGCGACGCAGATTGCGTGTGACAAGTGCAGTCAAGTGCGTAGCTATTTCAGGTTGCCCTTGCCCCCGCTGCGCTCCTTTGGCCCAGTTGCGGCTCCCCCTTTCGCAACTGGTTGCATGCAACGAAATTGTGTGCAACAGCCAGCGACCAGCCCGGAACCCCATTGAATACACGATTTCTGCAACTGCGTCGCAATTTTGACCAGCAAAGGGCCTTGAGCTGTGTGGGCGTTGGCGCGTGTTTGTGGGCGTGCCCAGGATGAGAATCCTGTAATTCAATGCCGCAGTCCTGGAGCTTAACTCGTTGAGGATGTGTAAACACACGTTCTCCATGCAGCTTGCAGCTATGCAAACCGAAATGAACTTGCAACAGGTGGCACGTTTGCTTTGCTATCGATAACATAGTGGGTCTGTGTGCGTGTGTGTGTGCGTGTGTGTGTGTGCCACGCCCCCGGGGCTCTGTTTAATATGCAATACGTTGGATTTGAGTGTCTCTATGTGTCGTGCTGTCAGTTTCCATTACAAGCACGAGAGCGACGAGACTGTGCGACACTTTATTATACTTGTCGTGTGTATGCCCTGTAGAGCAGCTGGCCGCATGGGGTATGATGAATTAATAGACAGTATGTTAAGGCACGTTAAGGAGTTGGCCTCATAGATTTGTGAATACAATTCAAATTGTCATTTAAGCTTCATTTTATGAACATATATTAACAATAGGAAATTACCCAACATTGCCCGGCTTTAGTATAATAAATGTTAGAAATACAAGTATATCGAATTTATTTATAAAATTCGCAACAGATCTTAAACTTATATAAAGTCAATTAAATATAATATTTTTCATTCAATTATAACTTTCTTTTTTTTTAAACAAATGAAATCAATAACTTTAAAAGAAATTGGTGTTGAGTTTGAACCAGCAACCTTCCAAGTAGTTTATTTGACGACAATGTCCAGAACACAACATACCTTGTAATATACTAAGCTATGAGGTTGAATTGATTTTTCTTTATTTTGCATTACATTATTTGTAACTTAAAAATTTGCGCTGGGTTTGAACCAGCGACCTTTCAAAATGTTGACTTGGCGCTAATTTACAGAGCATAACATACCATTTGGTATACTTAGCTATGCGATTGACTGTATTTTGTTCTAAATTATGTTTAAGTTATAGTTTGAGTCTGAGTTTGAGCCAGCGACCTGTCGCTTGTTGGTCCGACGCTCAGTCACCTAAGCCAAGCAGGCGCCTAACATCGCTTTTACAGGATATTCAAAGTTCTATCAAGCTATTTCTCAGACTGCCACTAGTTGATATCGATCAATCTATATTCTATTTAGCCATGCATTGCCTGAAATTGTCACACTGAATGAAAGAATGTCACGCCAGTTGGCATTAATAATAAATAATATTAACAATAATGTTGCATATGAATATAAATCTAAATCAAGACAACGCGCCACGTCAAATGTCTCTGTGCCTGGCATGAGGGGTGGGTTGGCGTAACAATACACTCACTATATAGTATGCTTAAGAAATCGCACGGCATCAGTAAATTATTTTAATAAAATTCCAGACAGCTAAATATCAGGGGGACATTATTTGTGAAGCGTTTCGCGCCGGACGTCTGGCCAAACAGCACAAAATACAAACAAAAATACAAACAAGCGCAGATACCAGCACAAATAATATATATATATATATATATATATATATATTGTGTATGCATATGTTTGTATCTAAATAATGCATTTCGGTATGATAGCGGGTTCAAACAGGGGCGTGGGCTAACTTTTTAGCTGTTCTCAAGGGGGGGCTCTCCATAACTGATCAGTTATAAATTGACAGTCAAGCTTTATCGCTGTAACTTATAAAAATTTGAAGTAATTTATATTTATAAGCGCCCCTTTTGCAATTTTTATAAGGCTACGCCTCTGTGTGTACAAAAAAACTTGAAATTCGCGAGTTGAAAATCTTGAAAGAAATTTTAAAATAATATTTATATATTAAATATTAAATGATTCCTTCGCTGCATTAGTTAAGTGAATGTCCATCTTCTTTTCTCCGATCCCCACCCAAGTTGTTTCTTAAGCTGGTTTTAAGCTACGGCTCTGTGTGGCATAAGAAAATTGATAATTTTAATTTGAAAATCTTTAAGGAAAACTTAAAATAATATAAGTTTCCTCTTTAGCTGTATAGGTTA